AGTGTTGTTTTCATGTGCATCTTCCGAATGACCAGTGATGTTGAACATTTTTTCATATATTTATTTGCTGCTTTTACTTCTTTGTGTGAGAAATGTCTGTTCATTTCAGATGCCCATTTTTGAATTAGGTCTTTAAATTTGGGAGGTCTGATTTTTTTCAATTCTTTATATATTCTAGATAGTAGTTCTTGGTCTGAGGAACAGCTGATAAAAATTTTTTCCCACATTGTAGATTGTCTTTAGCTCTGTTGGTGGTTTCTGTTGCAGTACAGAAGCTTTTTAATCAGATGAGATCCCAGTTGTTGATTCTTTGTGCTAGTTCTCGTGCTACTGAGGTTTTGTTCATAAAGTCTTTTCCTATGCTGATGTCTTCAAGAGTTCTTCCTAATTTATCTTCCAGCAAGTTTAGTGTTTCTGTTTTAATATTTAGATCATTAATCCATTTTGATTTTAGTTTAGTGCATGGTTATAGATATGGATCTAGTTTTAATGTTTGGCAGGTTGAAATATAGTTTTTCCAACACCATTTATTAAATAAGCTATCTTTCCTCCAGTGAGGATGGTTGGCACTTTTGTCAAAGATGAGGTGGCTGAGTATGTCTAGAGATGTTTCTAAATCTTCTAATCTATTCCACTGATTCTCGGGTCTCATTCTTTGCCAGTATGATGCTGTTTTTTTCACCATGGCTTTGTAGTAATAGTTTCAAGTTGAGGATTGTGATACCCTCTGTCATGTCTCTGTTGCCTCAAATTGCTTTTGCTATTCTAGGTCTATTCTGGTTCCAAATGAATTTTTGAATTGTCTTCTCTAGTTATCGTTGGGATTTCAATTGGGATTGCATTGAATCGATATAGCAGTTTTGGAAGTATGGCCATTTTCACTATATTGGTTCTTCCTACCCAGGAAGAAGGGATGTCTTTCCACTTACTTATATCCTTTTTGATCTCTTTTTTCAGAGTGCTGCAGTTTTCAATGTAGAGGTCTTTTGCTTCCTTTGTTAGATTGATTCCTAGATATTTCAATTTTTTGGGTGCTATTGTGAAAGGAATTGTTTCTCTAATTTCTCTCTCAGTGAGTCTATTGTTCATGTAGAGGAAAGCTATTGATTTTTCACCGTTGACCTTGTATGCAGCTACTCTACTGAATCTGTCAATTAAGTGTAGAGGTCTTTTGGTGAAGTTTTTTGGGTCTTCTATGTAGAGTATCATATCATCAGCAAATAATGACAGTTTAACTTCTTCCTTTCCTATCTTTATTCCTTTTATTTATAACTTTCTCTTGTTTAATTGCTGTGGCTAATGTTTCCAGAACTATATTGAACAGGAGTGGTGATAGTGGACAACCTTGTCTTGTTCCTGATTTTAGTGTGAAAGTTTTCAGTTTTTGACCATTTAGTATGATGTTGGCTGTTGGTTTTTCATAGACGCCTTAATCGGGTTGAGATAAAGACCTTCTATTCTAATTTTCTGTAGCATTTTTTCATGAATGGGTGTTGGATTTTGTCAAAAGCTTTTTCTGCATCTATTGAGATGATCATATGGTTTTTGTCCTTGGCTCTGTTAATATAGTGTATTACATTTATTGTTCTACAAATATTGAACCATCCTTGCATCCCTGGGATAAATCTAACTTGGTCAGGGTGTATGATCTTCTTGATGACCCTCTGTATTCTGTTTGCCAGTATCTTTTTGAGGATTTTTTTCATCTGTGTTCATTAGGGAGATTGGCCTGTACTTCTCTTTTTGGGTTGGGTCTTTCTCTGGTTTTGGAATCAAAGTAACACTTACTTCCAGGAATGAATTTGGGAGTATTGTTTCCCTTTCATTTTCACTGAACAGTTTAAAGAGTAGGGGCAATAGTTCTTCTGTAAATGTTTTGTAGAATTCAGCAATGAAGCCATCAAGACCTGGGTTTTTCTTTGTTGGTAATTTTTTTTTTTTTTTTTTTTCTTTTTGGTACCAGGGATTGAAATCAGGACCCTGCCCTTGTGAGGCAGGTGGCAGAACCACTGAGCTAAATTCCCGGCCCTGTTGGTAAATTTTTTATTATATTTATTACATTTTTATTATTTTTTATTACATTTTCAATTTCACTGATTGTAATTGACGTGTTAGAATTTTTATATCTTCTTTGTTCAACTTTGGAAATTCATTTGTATCTAGGAATCTGTCCATTTCTTTTGTGTTTTTCCATTTTATTAGAGTACAGATTCTCGAAGTAGGTATTGATTACCCTCTGGATTTCTGCTGTATCTGTTGTGACTTCTCCTTTTTTGTTCCTAATTGCATGGATTTGACTCTTTTCTTTCCTTTTTTTGATAAGGTTGTCTAAGGGTTTATCCATTTTACTTATTCTTTTGAATAACTAACTCTTCAATTCATTGATTTTTTTTTTTGTATAGTTCTTTTAGTCTCCATTGCATTGATTTCTGCTCTGATGTTTATAATTTCCTCCCTTCTATGAGCTTTGGGTTTGTCTTGCTCTTCGTTTTCTAGGAGCTTGAGGTTCAGCATTAGGTTGTTTATTTGAGCTCTTTCTGTTTTCTTACTATGGGCATTCACTGCTGTGAATTTCCCTGGTAGAACAGCTTTCATTGTGTTCCATAGATTCCTGTATGTTATATTGGCATTATCATTTAATTGTAGAAACTGTTTAATTTCTTCTTTAATTTCCTCTGTGACCCATTGGTTGTTCAGAAGAGTGTTTTGTTGTTGTTGTTGTTGTTGTTGTTTGGTACCAGGGTCTAACTCAGGTCCTTGCGCTTGTGCAGCAGGTGGTGAAACCCAGAAGAGTGTTATTTAATTTCCATGTGTTTGTGGGGTTCTTGTGGTTTCTTATGCTATTAATCTCCAATTTTAGTGTACTATGGTCTGATAATATACAGGGGTTAACTTTAATTCCTTTGTATTTACTTAAACATGTCCTATGAGCTAGCATGTGGTCTATTTTGGAGACTGACCCATGTTAAAGTACACATTTTAGCTGGGCATGGTGGTGCACATCTGTAATCCCAGTACTTGAGAGGCTGAATCACGAGGATCACTGCGAATTGTAGGCAGGCCTTGGTTACATAGTGAGCTCAAGCCCAGCCTGAACCACAAAACAAAACCCTGTCTCAAAAAAAAAAAAAAAAGGGCCAGGGATGTAGCTCAGTGGTGCCACACTTGACTGGCAAGCACAAGGTTCTGAGTTTGATTCCCAGTACTGGGGAAAAAAATTGTAAAAAGGGCCGGGGATGTAGCTCAATAGCGCCACACCTGCCTAGCAAGCACAAAGTCCTGAGTTCAATCCCTGGTACCAAAAAACACACACATACACAGAAAAATAAACATTGTATTCTGCTATATTGCAATAAATGTCACTTTCAAGGGATGGCATACCTAACCACCTTTTCTCTCACTTGGTTGGTTTCCTTCATACATTAAAACAAGATATTTGGTAATTTTATAAATTTATCTTATTAGAATGAAAACTCCATGAACCCAGTGACCATGTTACCTTAATGTCAATGCCTAGAAATTATTCATTATAGATTATGTTGTTGAGTGAATGAACCCATTCAATCTTGTATCATGCATATAAACATATGAATGGACCTGTATATTCTCTGTGTTATACAGCTGACAAAGTTTGACATCATGTTATCCATACAGATTTGTGGTCTTTTTAATTTTATATTTTACTATAGGGTCATTTTTCCAATTGCTACCTTGCCCTGTTGCTGATAGTTGTGGGAACTTGTCCTGGCACCTGATTCTTTCTTTTTCTGGCCAGCATGTGTAAAAGCTCAATAAAACTTTTTGTTTGTTTTTTTGTTTTTGGTACTGGGGATCGAACTCAGGACCTTGAGCTTACACGGAAGGCGCTGGAACCACTGAGCTAAATCCCCGGCCTTCAATAAAACTTTTTATTTCAGAGAAAAAAATGTATATTTTACAGTAAATTTTATTTTATATCCTTATCTGTTTTCTAATAATGTAATTTTTTTTTTGGTACTAAGGATCAAACTCAGGACCTTGTGCCTGCAAGGCAGGCACAGCACCACTAAGCTACATCCCGGCCCATCAAATAATGTGATTTTTAATGCCTACACACCATTGCCAAGATACATTGTATTGTGATTCATTAAATGTGCATCCCTGACAATGGACATTTGAGTTGTTTGGGGATTTCTTCTTAAATACTGATTTTTTGTTTTGCTCGTAATTATTCAGTCTAAAGGTTTTTCTTCTAATTCTTACAGTGAAACTCCAGTAGACATCTTGCAGATATTTAGAGTTGGCAAAGTGAATGAAGCCACAGAGTTTTTGAGCAAACTTGGCAACGTAAGGTCCTTGTTGCACGGATCTCCTGTTCAGAACATTGTAGGAATCTTATCCCGGTAAGAGTGTGGCCTCTTTATCTTTCTAAATTTTCAGGCTCACAAATGTGAGCCTCCTTTCTTTCCTCCTTTATTCTAAACTATGTAGGTCATATAACAAATACTAGCATGGCTGTGGTGGAAAAAGGAACTCACCTACATTGTTGGTGGAAATGTAAATTAGTACCACCATTATGGAAATCAGTATGAAGATTTCTCAAAAAATTAAAATTAGAAATTCCATATGACCTAGCTATCCCCCTTCTACATATTTTCCCCAAAAAGTTTAAGACATCATACAGTAGTCATACATGCATATTAATGTTTATAACAGCACAGTTCAATAATAGCTAAATCCTAGAAGCAGCCTGTATACCTATCAACAGTTGATTGGATAAAAAAATTGTGGTATCTATATGTAATGGAATACTATGTAGCTATAAAGAAGGACAAGTTTGAGACATTTGTAGGAAAATGGATACACCTAGAAAATATAATGTTGAGTGAAATAAATCTGACACACAAGCATGAATATTATATAGTATCTCTCATTTGAGTAAGACAAACTACAAAGTAAGAGAGAAATGACAGATAGGACACAAGGGGATGGATGGATCTCTTGCAGATGAGTAAGGGTCCAGAGAACTAGGGGTGAGGGGTGAAGGGGAGGGGATGGGGAAGTAGGTAGAGTGAAGATATGGCGTGTATAAGGTCCTAATAACTTCAGTGAATGTGGACATTATACACCATAAACATGAACTAAGATTAATAATATCAACAAGAATGAAAAAGAGGAAAGGAGGAATTAGAGGGGAAGGAGGGAACAGGGCAGGGGATTAAAGAAAAAAAAGAAATAGCCTGTATTTTGTACATATACCAACTCCACATGATGATTGTAAAATGTATTACTGCAAACATGTACTAATAAAAAAATAATATGGGGGTTTTTTTTGGTACCGGGGATCGAACTCAGGTCCTTGTGCTTACGCAGCAGGTGACGAAACCACTGAGCTAAATCCTGGGCCCAGAATAATATGGGTCTTTGATCCCAAGCACATGGGTCTTTTCAGTTAAAAGCGGACAATTTAGTGTATTGTACAGAAAATTAATGCACTTTATCATTAAGTATGTAATCTAAGTTATGTATTTGTTATTTTTTAAAAGTGTTATACAGATATGATTGCTCCCTGAAGACTGTGTCGTATGAAAAATGACTCTATATCTCATGACTCTTCCATGTGTATCTAATTTTGGGATATCCTGACACTTAAATAGAAAGGTCTAGAAATTAGAGTGCCCACATGCTGTGAGTTATTTATTTAAAGCACAACTCTAATTTTCTGTTTGCTTTGAGTAACATATTAGAGCTGAAACTGAAGTCAGAGGTGCAAGAGGGAGTTATGAGTACATTTATTTCCCATAATTAAATACTTAAGAAACTTAGAGGCTGAGGTACAGCTCAGTAATAGAGGGCTTGCCTAGAATGCATAAGACCGGGTTTGATCCCCACACTGCAAAACAAAACAAACCAGTAGAAAGTTAAAAAATACATAAACTTGGCATGGTGGCATACACCTGTAATCCCAGCAGTCTAGAAGGCTGAAGCAGGAACATTGAAAGTTTAAATGTAGCCTGGGAAACCTAGCTACTTAGTGAGAACCTGTCTCAAAATTTAAAATATACTTATCTTTTTTTTTGGTACTGGGGATTGAACTCAGGACCTTGTGCTTGCAGGGCAGGCAGCAGAACCACTGAGCTAAATCCCCAGCCCCTCAAAATTTAAAATATAAAAAGACCTGAGGATGTTTCTCAAGACCCTTGGTTGATTCCTATTACTGAAAAAAAAAACAAAATATAAAAACCTCTTAATATAAAATCCAAACAATAGATGTTCATAGCTAGGCGTGGTGACACATGCCTCTAGTCCCAGCTCTCTGGAGGCTGGGGCAGGCAGATCATGAGTTCAAGGCCAGCCTGGGCTATATAAGGAGTTCAAGGCCAGCCTAGACTATATGATGAAACCTAGTCTCAAAAACAAATAATAGATGTCCAGGTCATAAAAAGCAGAAGTCTCCCTTTACCTGCCTTTCTGGGAATTAAGTGCAGTTTCACTTTGACTGTGAAGAATCTTCTGCTAAAAGCCCAGCAGAAACCTCCACAAGGTCTCAAGCAAGGGACAGATGCAGTCAACATGGGGCTTTCACAGGGACTCACCTGGAGGAGGCAGGAGCTAGCCAGCAGCCCAACACTGGTGGAAGCCATGATGAGAACCCAGCCACAGCTGGTGACTTTTCAGTGGCAAACGGAGCTCCACTGGGGGATTGCAGTCATCCCTTAGTATGCCCAAGGAATTGTTTCCAGGACTCTCTCACACCAGTCTTCTCATGCTTGAGGGTCTTGTATAAAATGGTATAATCTTTCCATAGAACCTATGTAATTGTTCCAATATACTTAAATTATCTTTAGATGACGTATAACTCCCAGTATAGTATAAATGTCATGGGAACACCTGCTATATCATGTTCCTTAGGGAATAATGACTAGAAAAAAGTCTGTACATGTGCAGTACAGACATAATTTTTTCAAGTATTTCCATCCTCTGATTGACTCTGTGGAAGTGGACCCACAGGTACAGAGGACCAACTGTATTTTGACATGCATTCTTAAGGTTATGCATGTCTTGCTTTTAAACTAGCACCTGTCCTGCTAGAGTTATTAAGGTATAATAAAAAATTATTTTTTCTGGCAGATCTTTATAATGTCCTTTCCTTTTCAGAGGGTTGCTTTTACCCAAACTCGTTGAAGATCGTGGAGTGCAAAGAACAGACATTGGAAATCTGGGGAGTGGTATTTATTTCAGTGATTCACTCAGGTTAGTGTGCTCTTACATCATTTATTCAAGCCCATCACCCAGAAATCACTACTAGATCTGCTGTATGTTCTCCTTCCATCTCTTTTTGATGAAGAGGTTTTTCACCCATGACACAGATCATAAAATCCAATCAGTTTTCTCAGTGTACTATAGAAGCACCTTTTTTGGTATATGTTTAGGAAAATTTTATTTGAAATCATTTTAGTCATTATACTCTCCTTAGAGGTGTTACATATATTTTCTCACTGAATCCCTTACAGTGCCCTGAGGTAAGTCCTCTTACTATCTCCATATCCCAGATGGAAACACTGAGAGAATCTTGCCTCAGCTAAAATGGGATGCAAGGCCAGGCATGGTGGTACACACCTGTAATCCCAGCACTCGAGAGGCTGAGGCAAGAGAATTGCCATGAGTTCAAAGCCAGCCTGGGCTACATAGTGAGTTAAGGCCAGCCTGAACTATGAAGTAAGATTCTGTCTCAAAAGACCAAAAAGAAAAAGAGGATGCAGGCTGAGCTGGACCTTTGCAATCAGTCTTTCTCCAGAGCCAGCATCCTCGCTTCTGCAGCCCACGATCTCCTCCACTTCTTAAGCTAAGTGCTTGCATATGAAGTTGGTCTCATTATTATTATTTAAACATTTATATTATACATTCTTATACCTTGTACAAAATAGTACAAGATAAAATTTTTAGACACTGCCATATTTTTGTGGGCATTCAGCTGATTCTAACGAAGCTGAAGTCCTCAGTGACTGTCACAGAGTAGCTTCAGGGGAAAAATCTGAAGAGAGACATTTAATGTTCCCATGCCCCAAAGGCACTCCATTTTCTCTTGGTTTTCCTTGTTTAAAAACCAGAAGTCTAAACAGAGCAAATTATGGTAGATTGAGTAGGAATCAGTAGTCAGGCGAGAAGAGATGTTCTTTCAACACTTATGTCAGGGGAATGGTGAGGGGAAGGAGATTGAGGTTGAGAGGGCAAAGCCAAGATCTGGTTTGGTGAGGAGGATTTCAGTGTGTTTGTAAGTTAAGGGAAGCACTCGCAGCAAGAAGGAAATGAATAGCAGAAATGGGGAAACTGGTTCTTTTTCTAAAAAGTACAAGTCTTAGGGTATGGAACAAAGAAAGGTCCTCCTGGCAATGCTTTGACATTTTGGACTTGACCTCTAAAAAAATATAAAAGTGGGCCAGGGATTTAGCTCAGTGGTTCCGCCACCTGCTCCACAAGCGCAAGGACCCAAGTTCGATCCCTGGTACAAAAAAAAATATATATATATATATATATATATGTATGTTCCAAAAATGGTGCTCCGAAGTACTCCATAACCTGTGCTCCTAACAGCAAGATGTGCTGTACAAAAGCTGCTAATCCCCAAAGAAGAGGAAACAGAATCTCTCATTTGGGTATTATTTTATTTATTTAGGTTCTTTTTGTTTGTTTGTTTTGTTTTTTTGGTACTGGGGATTGAACTCAGGATCTTGCACTTGCGCAGCAGGCGGCAAAACCACTGAGCCAAATCCCCAGCCCTATTTGGGTTCTTTTGAAACAGGGTATCACTATGTAATTCAGGCTAACCTTGAACTACATTATGTAGCCCAGGCTGGCCTCAAATTTGTGGCAATCCAACTGCCTCAGCTTCCCAAGTGCTGGGGTTACAGGTATGTGCCACCATACCTGGTTGAATTTTTTTTTTCTGCATTTGGATTCAAAAGGCATTGTGAGAATACAATGGCTGTCTTTCCCTTTGAGCAGTTCTTACTTAGTACTTAATGTCCTTTCTGAACTTTAGCAGAAAATTCAATACAATTTTTCCAGATTATTAAGGTGGACTATTTTTTTCCTTATTCACCACTCTGGAATTTACTACAGCAGAACATGTATATTTTAGTAGCTAATAGAGATTTGGGGGAGCAATAGAATTCATTTCTCCATAAGAACAAAGTACACTGAGAACTGCATGATTAAGGACAATATCCATGTTTGTTTGTTTGTTTTTTGGTACCAGGGATCAAACTCGGGACCTTGCGCTTGCCAGGCAGGTACAGTGCCACTGAGTTAAATCCCCGGCGCTACATGTTTGTTATATTAAAATATTTTGCATAGGGCTGGGGATTTGGCTCAGTGGTTCTGGCACCTGCCTCGAAAGCGCAAGGTCCCAAGTTTGATCCCTGGTACCAAAAAAAAAAAAAAAAAGACACAATAAAATATTTTGCATTACTGGGATTTAATTGAACCTAGGACCTTGGTAATGAGCTACATTCCCTACCCTTTTTGTATTTTATTTTGAGACAGGGTCTCGCTAAAATGCTAAATCGTCCAGGCTGCTTTAAACTTGTAGTCCTCCTGCTTGAGCCTCCCAGAGTGCCAAGATTACAAGCGTGTGCCACCACACTCAGCTTTATATTAAAAATTTTAAGGGGCTTAGGATTTAGCTTAGTCGTTCCAGCGCCTGCTTCACAAGCACAAGGTTCAGAGTTCAATCCCTGGTACCAAAAAAAAAAACAACATTTTTTTTAAGTGGAACTGAGTGTGTGTCTCCATGGCAGAGTGCTTACCTACCATATGTGAGGCCCTGGCTTGAATCCCTAGCACTGCAAAAAAATTTAATCAATTAAGCCCATAGTGAAGTTTTAACTTGAATCTTTGGAGATATTTGAGTAGGAATAAAATTTAGAATAATTTACTAGGAAAGTTCATTTTTTTCTTCAACACTATAGATTGAGTATCCCTTATCTGAAATGTTTGGGACCAGCAGTGTTTTTATTTTTTTCATATCTGGGGATATTTGTATTTACATAATGAGTTATCTTGGGGTTGGAATTTCAAGTCTAAACATGAAATCCATTTATGTTGACACCTTCTGTGTCTAGCCTGAAGGTGGTTTTATACATTCTTTTTAGTGTACCTGTATTTTGACTGTAACTCAGCGATGAGATAACGTGTGGAATTTTCCATTTGTGGCATCCTATTGGTGCTCAAAAAAATTTTAGAGCAGATTTTGGATTCAGATTTTTGGATTAGTTATATTCAACTTGTGTTTTCTATTTACGAAATAACATGTTGACATGTACTTGTAAGTTATGAGAATGTGCTTATTTCCTGTCACATGCAGTACAAGCATTAAGTACTCACCCCCAGCAGAGACAGATGGCTCCAGATTCCTGATCATCTGTGATGTGGCCCTCGGAAAGTGTGTGGACTTATTCAAGAAGGACTTCTCCTTAACTGATGCACCTCTGGGCTATGACAGTGTGCACGGAGTTTCACAAACAGCCTCTGTCCCTACAGACTTTGAGGTATTTTTATGTCAAGAAACAGGCAGAGCTGAGGGCGTAGCTCAGTGGAAGACCACTTACGTAGTATGGGTAAGGCCTTGGGTTCTGTCCCCAGTGCCACAAACAAAAAACAAACAAATTTTAAAAACCAGGGAAAGAGAGATCTAAATGCTCAAAGAACACCCTTAGGTTTTTATTCCTACTTTTATTAGTTATGCTTCCACTTAAATTATTATTTTTTATCTACTGCCAGATTTGTTATTTTCTGAATTTGCAAATGTGAAATTCTGTGTTTTTGAGATCACTTACCAATGAAACTGTTCTTGTTTTTAATATCTATTCTTTTTTTTTTTTTTGCTATCCTTTTTGCTCTAGGATGATGAATTTGTTGTCTATAAAACCAATCAAGTTAAAATGAAATATATTATTAAATTTTGCATGGCTGGAGATCAAATGAAAGACTTTCATCCTCAAGATTATAGTGAATTAGAGGGATACAGACCTGAGTTTTTGAATACGTTAAGGATTGATGGTAAGACAATATTCTGGAATGCTGGGGTTTTTTGTGATAATATTTATAGAAGTGAAACATTTTCAGTGGTATTTATATTCATGTCTGATAATAATATCTGATCTCACAATAAATATTTCATTTTCTTTTTTATATTGTACATATGAAGACCAGGTTGCTTGAGAAAAGTTGAGTGATCTCACAGTTCCATGTTCTGTTTTGGTTTTTTTTGGTACCGGGGATCGAACTCAGGACCTTGCACTTGAGAGGCAGGCACTGGAACCACTGAGCTAAATCCCCGGCCCCCATGTTCTGTTATTAATATCCCTAAGTTGAGCATATTCTTCTCAGGAATAACCAATATTAAAACCTGGCTGGGGGTGTAGCTCAACGGCACCATGCCTGCCTGGCAAGCGCAAGGTCCTGAGTTCAATCCCCAGTACCAACAACAACAAAAAAACCCTGCTGTATTTGTCTGTTTTTTTGTTACTATAATGAAATACCTGAAACTGGGTATATGATTTAAAAGATATAAATGTAACCTACAGATTTTGGTGCGTCAGGGGAAGGCAGAGAGGGGAGGGGCCTCCCAACAAGCCTCACCTCTTAAAGGCCCCACCCTGCCCTGGGGACCAACCTCAACACATGGACCTTTACGGGCTGAACCACTTCCAAGCCACAGCATCCATAGAACCATTTTAAGATGTCAAAAGTGCAAAAAGTACAATTGAAATGAATAGTATAGAAAGAAAACACAGCTGTAGAGAGTCAGTAAGCTTGGTTTTGAATGTCAATTCTACTCCTTAGTAGGCTGTGCAAATGGAATTTTTTATGGACAAATCATGTAACTTCCCTCAGATGGTTATGAGAATGGTATCAGTGTGCTGTGAGGATGTGTGGGAAGAGTGAAGGTCTGACACAGACTGTAACCAGCCACTTACAGATCAGCAGAAGTACAGTTGCATGAGAGCTTCTCAGAAATTCATGAGCCCAAGCTATTATAATATTGCTTAATAGGACCGAAAAGCATGTTAACAAGCTCTACGTGGGGATGGATGCTAACAGTCCCAGCTACTCAGGAGGCTGAGGTAGGAGGATCACTTGAGTCTAAGAATTCAAGATAAGCCTGGGCAACATAGCAAACCTATGATTCCAAACCAAACCAACCTGTCCTGTCCCCATTCCCAACCCCTTTCCCTTTTAGACTGTGATTAAATTGAACCTAGGGTCTTACATATGCCATGGGCAAGCACTCTACCACTGAATTATATACCCATTCCCCATTTTTTTTAAAATCAGAAGTGTATGTATTAGCTGGACATGGTAGTACATGCCTGTAATTCCAACACTGGGAGACTGAGGCAGGAGGAAGAAAAACTCAAGCCCAGCTTGGACAACTTAGTGATTTAGTGAGATTCTGTCTCAAAATAAAAAAATAAAAACACGAGGGTCTTGATTGTTTTCTTAGTTAATAGGTAACTGATGTTCTTCCCCCACTCCTCAGAAAATAAAATCTCTAGAAAAGAAAAAAAGCAATAATAAAAAATAAATAAAAAGGTCTGGGGATGTAACTCAGTGCAAAGTCCTTGGATTCAGTTCCCAGTACCACACGCACGTGCACGCACACATGCAGCATACACACAGAGGGAGACATGTATATATTCATATTTGTTCAAGTGAATGACTAATTTTTTCTGTGGGAGTCATTAAATGAAATATGCAACAAGACTGTGGATAGATATAGATATATCCATATCTTTTTTATTTATTTATTTATTTATTTGGTACTGGGGATCGAACTCAGGACCTTGCACTTGCAAGGCAGACAGTGGAACCACTGAGCTAAATCCCTGGCCCAGATATATCCGTATCTTTGATATATGATGTGAACATTTTCCAATATGCAGTACTTTGATTTAGTCTTTCTCAGAATGAAAGATCTGGATAGTTTTATATTGCTCTGGAATGCTTCTGTGGCACAATAAATAATTGTGACTGATGATTGACCAATTCACCATGACAAGAGGATGCAGGTAGCTAGGTTCGTGTTTCAGCTATGCTTATTGAGATAATCTAAGGCCTCTGTGTATGTGTGTGTATGTTAAAATGTAAATCTTTCAATTAATAGCATCATTTCATGCTTTTGAAATCACACTTCAGAGCTTTCTGTTTAAAAAAGGCAGAAGTGAGCTGGAAGTAGAGATCTGTGGTGAACCACTTACATATGGTTATGTCCGTGTCTAATCCCTGATACTGTAAAATAAAAATAAAAAAGGGCAGAAGTGCTTTGAGAATTTTTCTCATGTGGAGACATTCACTTTTCAGAATTGGCTATTGAAAATCATAATGTGTTATCTGTTCATTTTTTCCCAAAATGTAATATATGCAGGGATGGAGTAGGAATAAAGGTCAAGATAACAAAAATAGAGCAGGGATGGTTTTAAAGGCTAACACTGATATTTATAATATGTAGATTACCAGTTACCAGACCCTAAGCCTTCCAGCAGCGTCAAGGCCGGCCTTCAGGATGCTTCTGGAAATTTGGTTCCTCTTGAGAGTGTTCACATCAAGGGGAGAATAATAGACTTTGTAGCCCAGGTATGCTTTCTGAGCTTTTATGATACTTGACTAGTTGGATGTAAATCATTAATGAGAATTTCATTGCAGTTACATGAACTAAACAAAATTTGCATGTTATAATGTTTGTTTAGGGAATAATATGGCAAGGAAAAAAGTAGTATATTAAGTGTTCAGCAAACCCAGCACTGTAGGAGACTGGAGCAGAAGAATCACAAGCATGAGGCTGGCCTGAGCAGCTTAACAAGATCCTGTCTCAAAATAAAAATAAGAAAAGGACTGGGCCGGGGATTTAGCTCAGTGGTACTGCCACCTGCCTCACAAGCGCAAGGTCCCAAGTTCAGTCCCTGGTACCAAAAAAGAAAAAAGAAAAGGACTGTTGTATTTCAGTGTTATAGTGCTTGCCTAGCATGCACCAGGTCCTAGACTCAATCCCCAGTACCACCAAAAAGAAAAAAAAGTCCACAACATGAAAAGGGTTTTTATCCCCAGCCATCTTAATAGAGCTATGTGGCCTTTTTACCCTAGCCATATGTGTATGAACTGCCTGAATATGTATGTCACTGGCATTTTTCATTTGACGTGAACTCTCTGTTGGAATGTTAGAGTGCATTATCCCCTGAAGCCAGGGGTGGAAATTCAAGGGACTTGATAAAAATTCAAGGAATCACATAATAGAGGACTACCCTGACTATAAAGAAGGATAAATTTGGGCCGGGGATTTAGCTCAGTGGTTTTGCCGCCTGCAGTGCAAGCACAAGGACCTGAGTTCAATCCCTGGTACCAAAAAAAAAAAAAAAAAAAGAAGGATAAACTTGAGTCATTTGTAGGAAAATGGATGTGCTTTGAGACCTCACTGTTAAGTGAAGTAACTCATAGACACACAAGCTTAAATACTGCCTGGTTTCTCTTACATGAAAAACTCAATATATACAAAGTACAAAATAAAATACAAATAATAGGAAAACAGACAAAAAATTCAAGGAATCTGAAATGATCATGTATAATATATATATAATGTATATAATGTGTATTTTCTTTAATTGTTGTTCCTGCAAATGTTGTACCATGTGGCTTATTCAAGTATGTGGATTTTTTTTGTTCTTCAGGTCATAGTGTTTCAGACATACACAAATCAAAGTCATGTGCCCATTGAGGCAAAATATATCTTTCCTCTGGATGACAAGGCAGCCGTGTGTGGCTTTGAGGCATTCATCAACGGGAAGCACATAGTGGGTGAGGTAAGGGGAAGAGATCCTTGTTATCAGAGGCTAAATGGCTCTAGAGTGACGAGCAACTAAAAAAATATATATATATGTGTGTGTGTGTGTATTTTCTTTGAAAGGACCCACTTACACAATTAGCCTCTACTTAAAATCACTTCCTGCTTAACTGGTTTCTCTCCCCACCTGTCTAGTCTTTTTTTATTTTTATTTGTTGTTGTTGTTGTTGTTCTTTTATTGGTACATTTTAGGTGTACAGTTCGTTTACATTTATCATTGGGTGTTTGTACCTATACATGATATATCCTGGTTCTTACTTTTTTTTCCCCATTACCTGTGCACCCTTCACCCCCTCCGCCCTTCCCTATTTACATAGATTTCATTTCCATTTTTTTTTTCTTTTCTCATAGTTGTTCCTTTCCCTCTTTTCCTTTCCCCTTCCCCTCCCTTCACTCCTTTGTCTTTGGACCTTTTTTCCTATTTCAAATTATCAGTTATTCATTTTAATCATTTTAACCCTTGTTTACACTATCAGTTTCTCACACTAGTGAAACTATTCTG